GCCAGGGAAGCTAGAAAGTTGAAATTTTAAAGGGAATGTTTTCTGACAGTTCTGGTAGCCAGTCTTTATTTGTTTAGATAGAAGCATTTGCCGAAGAAGCCAATGCCGGTAGCAACAAAAACTGCGGGGAACTATGCAAAAAACGCATCTTCGCACGGGCAGCCCGTGCGTTGGCCAATTTTTCGCATTGCATTGCTGCAAAAAACGCATAAGAACTACTGATAAACAGGAACTGCTATTTTCGTTCATGCAAAATTTGCGATAATTTGCGGTATTGAGCATACAAGGCAGGTGTGAAGCAACAAATATTCATACAGCTAACCTGATTACTTCAGGCTTGGTGCAAAAACGCATGATCGCACCGGCAAGCTTGGTGCGTTTCAGCCCGGGTTTCCGGTCTCCTTACTCCGCCGAATCCCGAAGATTGGGGTGGTGGTGAGGAGTTCATTGTGCAGGTTCCAGGCCGGGATTGGAGGCGGAGGAAGAGGTTAGTTGGGTGGATATATAGCGTGGGTCCTTTGGCACTTGCGTAGGCTACGTAAGGGAAAGGGAATGGATGTGGGAAAGGGTGATGGGTGGAATGGGTGTGGGATGCGAGGCAGAGGAGGGGTTCGCGCGGGGATTCGAGCCAGGAGAAGGGGATTGGGTGGGTGGATTGAGTGGATATGTGGCACAGATCTTTTGGAGGTTGCCTAGGCCACGTAAGAAAGAGGGGAGAAGGAGTGATGGGTGGAAAGGAGAGAGAAGTGTGGAAGTTGCTTTGGAGGGAGGGTTTCAGGACAGAGTAAAGAAAGGGAACGAGTGTAGAAGTCAAGAGCTGCAGACATCAGCAAAGAGAAAGAGAAAGCAAACCACTACAGAAAAAGCAAAGCAAGTCTGGGCACAGGAATGAAAGCAAAAGCAGAGGAAAAATGTGGACCTAAAGCAAAAAAAAGTAACGGCGAACCAAAAAAAAAATGAGTCTATGTGGGTGGGAATTGTCTTATAAAAACCGGCGATTAGTAGGGGATTTCCCCATTATGAAGCGGATTTTTAGGTAAAGCTGAGAGCCAACAAAGTGAAGCTGCGCAAGCTGCTCAGCATTGGCTTTATAAATACGGAAGCCCACTACTGCAGATAAGCTTTAAGCAAAAGAAAAACGCGCCGTCAGTAAAAGACTTCCCCACTCACGAAGCTGATGCTCAGGTAAAGCTGAAAGCGATTAATATAAAGATGCCTTGGTAAAGCAGAGAGCTCACAGCTTTACCTAAGCATCAGTTTCATAAATGGGGAAGCCCAGTACAGCAAACGGGCTTTTATAAGGCAATTTCCACTCATAAGCTTTTCCCTAAGTTTTTTCATGCGTTTTGTGCTGTGTAACAGCAGTACAAAACGCACATTGTCGTGGGGTTGTTTGTGTATGTGTGTGTGTCTGTGTGTCTGTATTTCTGCAGCAACTTGTCCGCAACTTTCAAGTCAGGAACCACAAAAACTAGGAAGCTGAAAATTCAGAGAAACGTCCTCCTTTCAAGTGTGACCCCGCAAATTTAAATTCAGCCTTCTTGTACACGCGGGCCCGTAAAAGTTTTGGCGGGGAAAATTATTATCTCGAGAACTACAGAAGCTAGGAAGTTAAAATCTTATCGGTATGTCCGCCGCCCACGTGCGATCCAGAAAATTTAAATTCAGCCTTCCCGTGCCAGCGGGTAACATATACCGTCCAACAAGACTTTTGGCGAATAAATTGTTGTCTCGGGAATCACGGAATTTAGGAGACTGGAATTTTATGGTAGTGACCCCCTGCCCAGGAATGACCTCACAAATTCAAATTCAGCGTTTCCATGCTCTCGGGTATCACCTACGGCCCCACGAAACTTTTGGCGGGTAAATTATTGTTTCGGAAACCACGGAATCTAGCACGTTGAAACTTTATGGATATATTCCTTGCCTGCGGGTATCATTTGCAGCCCCATGAAAATTTGACGAATAAATTATTATCTTGGGAAAAATGGCGTCCAGGAAGTTGAAATTTTAGCATAACATTCCCTGCCCACATAAGAATTCGCAAATTTTTATCGTTCCCTTGAAAGTTTTGGTGGGAAAAATTATTATCTCGGGAATCAGAAGAGCTATCAGGTTGAAAATTTCGGGGGGATGTTTCCTGCCTAGGCAGGGGCTTAACAAACGCGAATTCAATTTCTAATTATACCGAAGTCCCAAGTACGACCATGTGAAAGTACTGTCACAAAAACCATTCGAAAGCAGGGAACCAGGAGGTCAAAATTTTGTAAGTACGTTCACTCTTCGTGGCTTCAAATCCAGCTTTCGCGTGCTTTTGCGTGGGACTTTTATTGAGAAATTCCGCAAATTTTTAACTATTTTTGCACAGACAGAAGTGCAAAGCAGTGAAAATCGTTAGCAAGTAATCGTTTGGTGGACAAAATTGAACAAAACGCATGATTGCACCGACTGCCTTGGTGTGCGTCGCTATTTATTTGTTTTTTGCTTCTGCTTTCTCAGTTTTTATCTGTTTTTGCTTTCTTCAGCTTTTATTCATAAATTTCAGTTCTTTGATTACGCTTTTTTCGCTTTTTTATGCGTTTTTGCTGTGCAACGCAATAGCGCTGCTGTAGCGAGCAAAAACACGTATTGCCGAGAGGTTGTCCGTGTGCGTGTTTGGAAGTGAGTGAACTTTGTCGTCTACTTTTAACTCTGCAACCAGGAAGCTGAGAGGCTGAAATTTTAGCGACATATTCCTACCCGCTGTGTCACCCTCTCGTTACAAAATCTTTATTCATACGACCCCATGTACGGATCTCCGAAAAAATATTCAAATTTCTTTGGCGTGAAACGATTTAGAACCAGGTGAGATAGAAAGCTGAAAATTTGCAGGGATATTCTATGTGCTTGTGTGAGCTGCAGATTTCAAATTCAGCCATTGCGCACGCGTGTGCAGGGGGTACGGTCACTTTAAATTTTGGTCCTGGAAATGTGCTAACTCAAAAACTTAGGCTGGAACGCACCAGGCTTGTCGGTGCGATCATGCGTTTTTGCAACAAACCTGAAATAATTAGATTAATTGTATGAATGGTTGTTGCTTCACAGCTACTTGTGCGCTCAATACCGTAAATTATTGCACATTTGTTTAAACTAAAATAAACACTTTCCGCTTAGTGGCCGTTTTTTGAAAACGACCCAGCCGTTCGACGAACAATTTTCCAGCCAGAAAATTTAAGTGCCTGTACACAAGAACCACGTGTATGTGGTGGTTGAATTTGAAACCTTTAAGTTACACTTGGATGGGGAATATTCTCCTAAAATTTCAGCTTTTCGACTTTTCTGTTTCCCGAATTAGCAATTCTTCCCAACAAAAATTTTCATGGGCCGTACGCAAGAACCACGCATGCCTGGTGGCTGTATTTGGTGGATTTAAGTTGTGCATGGACGGGGAACATCCCTTTAAAATTTCAGCTTCCTAGCTTTCCTGGTTCCCAAGTTAGCGGTTTTTCCGCCAGGAACTCTCACGGGACTGTACACGTGTCTTCGAGTTCAATGTGGACAGGAAAAATTGCCTCGAAATTTCAGCTTCCTAGCTTTTCGCGTTCCTGAGTTAGCAATTTTCCCGCCAAAACTTTCACGCGCCGGCATGCGAGGCCCAGATGTGCGTGAGGGTTGGTACCGCGGTCCTGAGGTGACATCCGGCCTGGGAACCCACTGGCTAAATTTTGGCGCCGAGTCGCCGAGTTGAAATACCCGGACAGACGAAGACATACACACAAACATACACACGCACACAAACGCGCACAGACAGGGCCGTTGCATTGTGCGCTTTTGTAGTTTGCATACATGCAAAAACGCATAACTAGCCGGAAAACAGCAGCTGAAATCTTGTCAGAATATTTATTGTTCAAATGGGAAGTCGTATACTTAAATTGACTTTCGGTTTGCCTTGCGCCACAACTTGAGGCCCTTAAAAGATATTTATAGCGAAGTGGCTATTTCGCCTGCCGGATAATGTGCGAGGCTGAAAATTTGCTGGGATATTCTACTTTTAGGTACGGTCTTAATTCTGCTCGGAAGTGAAATTTCCAGCAGGTAGGTGTAAGAAATATTCAACTTTATTGCAAAGTCATAAAGGAGCGCATTTTGCAGCGAACAACCGCCCTCATTTACATATTTGGATTTTTTGACGAACGACCACTCTAGTAACACTTCCACTTTTTAGTTAGGAACTGATGTTGGGAGAGGATAAAGGCGGTCGTTAGTTGCAAAATGCACTCGCTTCTGAATGAAACCTGCTTAAAAAGCTGGACAAAAACGCGTGCTCGCACCGGCTAACCTGGTGCGTTCGAGCCTGGGTTTCATAGATTCAAATTTTCTTTAATTTACCTTACTTTGTACTGCTGTATTTTGCGGTGAACGAATAAAGTAAGGTTTCTTACAAACGTTCACCACAAATTACAGTTGAGTTGATTGAAGCGTTGTTGAGCTGACTGCCCCGGTCGATATCGATACCGAATAAGCGCGAAGGCGAGGTCAAGCGAAGATCCAAACCCATATAGGAATGGGAAGCCAAGGGGAAATGCAAGGCGCTGTCGAAGTCGGTAAGAGTGACCAGGAAGTCGAGGTCGCTGTCGATGAAATCAAGAGAGAAAACCCGACTGATGACTCCAGTCGTTTTCATACGGTTTTTTCGGGGAGGTTCTCGGGTATTATTTTTGAATTTTATCCAACCCACCTTGTAAGGAAAAGGGGAGTGTTCAGCTGCGCTGATTTATTTGTTATGCGTTTTTTGCATCTGTGCAATGTAGAAAACGTATATTGACGAGGGTTTATCTGTTTGTGTGTCTGTGTGTACGTCTGTACCGATTTTTCATCTTAAGACCTATAAAAGCTGCAGCGCTGAAACTTTGGGAACTTAATCTATATGCACGTACGGGCTCCAATCCCCAAAATAGGCTTTCTTGCCCGCGTGGTACCCACGTACGGACCTGCCATGGTTTTTCACAGGGAAGCCACTAACTTGGGAACCAGAAAAGCTGGAAAGCTGAAATTTGAAGGGGATGTTCCCCATCCACGTAGTCTTTAATGAATTCAAACTCAGCCCTTGGGTATGCGTGGTACCTACGTATGGGCCCGTGGAAGTTGTTTTCGGATAAGTTGTTAACTCGGGAACCTGAGAAGCTAGAAGACTGGAATTTTGAAGGGATGCTTCCTAACGGTCCTGGCGGCCAGTCTGAAATTTTTTTAGCTAGAAGCATCTGTCGGAAAAAACAATTCCGTTTGCAACAAGAATCTGCTGGGAACTGTGCAAAAAACTCATCTTCGCACCAGCAACCGGTGATTAGGCCAATCGTTTGTTTTAACAAGCGATATGCTTGTTTAGAGTTTTTTACTGTTATCGTTATGTCAAATGCATATTAATCGATCATTATCTGCATTTGATTTTTTATGGCAATACAATATTTGAATTTTTTTTTCTTGCAACTTTTTTGGTTTTCAAGAGGCTGTTCCTCTTCATGTTACCCCATCCTCTTTATTGTTGCCTTTAGTTGCTGATTCGAACTTCTGACAAATACCCTCGTCCCCTCCTCTATTTTCTCCCCAAACCCTGGCTGCAGAGCGGCGTCTGGGCACCACATCATTCACCACCCCCCCAGCCACTGTCACCATTAATCATTTCGTACTTCTCACTAGCCATAGGCGGGTCCAGGGTGGCCTACTGAAGGGGCGAGGGAGGGGGGAGGGGGAGTGGAGGGCGATTTTTCCCCCTCCCCATTCTTTACTACATCGGAAGCCTCACCTTCCCCGGCCGTCCCGCTGCACCTCCTCGATGGTGCCGCTGCGCCCTCCCCCTTCTCCCTCGGTTCCTATGTTGGACACTTCGCTATTTCCCCCTCGCTAGTCGATCCTTGCGGCATACAATATGTTTGCGGCATACAATATGTAGGCCAGACCAAGCGAACTCTGCAAGCTCGTGCAAGGGAGCACAGA